TAAAAAATCAGGCGACATCAAGACATTGCATTAGACTTTAAAACTTTTAGTGCATTTTTGATGCCAGAATTTTGACAAGTAATAAAAAAATTAGTTTTCTGTAAAAGACTTCCATTTCACAGTAGGCAGACTGACTCTTCATAATGCTGAAACAACTTTTTGAAAGTGAAAACTGCAGATTTTTCATGTGATATCAAACTAAGAACGGATATCCCCTGAATTGAATTTTGGTATTTAGGTAGACACCAAAATGTATTAGTTAATGTAGTTCATTATGTGTTGTGCAGAAACTACTGTAGTTCACATGCATGGTCTGAATTATAAATTAAGTGTCAAATATCCCATGGGAGATTATGCTTTAGATAATCACTAGAGACATGGAAGGAAAGTGTGTAACATCTAGAAAAGGAAGTCATCAAAATGTCAGCATGAAACTATATCAATCATCATGTGCAAATCTTCAATTGGTAATGAGAAGTCGTAATAGTAAAACAACTATGAAACTATCAAAAAAAAAAGTTGTGATGGTCCACAGCTATTCGATTAAATTTTCATTAAATAAATATCACTTATTTGTTATAGTCAGGAACATTGTGTAAGTTATTTTACAATGTCTATAAGTTATTTTGAAACATTACTCTTTCTGGTAATATCAGATTCTTTAGAAACAATCGAGGAGCAATTGACATCAAGATATCTATGCAAAAATGTATTGTGTCTGAACACCACCAGAGAATAATTTACTGTTGAATCAAGTTACCATTACAGTAGCCTGATAATAAAACATGTCCTTTTTTTGTATTAATCTAATTATATACATCATTACCAACATACATCTATCTAAATGTTGTTTTCCTTTTTTCTTACTTTATTTTTTTTTTTATTTATTTATTTTTTGTCTTTTTTATCCGTGTCCGGCAACGGATCGCAACCCTCAGTGTTGCCCCCGTACCGGACCGGGGACCGGCAACGGGATCGCAAGCCTCGGCGTTGCTCCCGTGCCTCGCTCAGCCAGTGAGCTGGAGCCGGTCTGTATGTGGGATCCGAACCCTCGGACGGGAGCGCTGCCGCGCTTCCCAAGCGGCGCACTATCCAGTGCGCCACCGGGCCGGCCCTTTTCTTACTTTATCAAACTATGTTGGCACACAGCATTTCAAAACTCTTCTGGGTCTCATACTGTTTTAAAGTCCCCCTCTACCATTCAAACCAGAGAAAGATAAAGAAGATTTAATAGAACATTAATATGACTTGTTTTGAGTGGCCCTCAATTTGGGACATCAGTAGGCTACAATTACATTTACTATAAAACAAAGCTTAAAGGTTTGAATCCAATTCTTTAATAGACTATTTTGCAGTAAGATATTGTCAATTTACCTTAACTTGTCATTATGTAATGAGCAGAGATAATACAAATAAAAGTGGTTTGCAATTTTAGACCCCTAAACAACTTACTAGGTGTTTATGTAAATTTGAAGTCTTAGCCACTGCTATAGTAACATTCTGTGAAATTCACAGCAGAACCAAAATAAATGAAAAACACTGAAGATGCTGCTTTAAAAAGATTACTTTAAAATCCACAGTATTAGAATAGAAAATAGTGCAAGTTGGGGTGAAAAAAATGCCTTTTCTACAAATGTCACTTTCAAATAGGTTTATACAAGAAGCATGCTCAATAAGATTGATTTTTTAATTGGCATGTTGTTTGATTGACCTAAGGCAACATAATTTAAAACAATATACTTGATATAAGATTTAAATTCTAACTGAAATCTAGAGAAGACTAACATTGAAATGAATAACACAGTTGTATTTTCTTTGACATAATTTACTTTCATTCATTATCAGAACTATTAAAAATTAGTGGTCAGCTAAGGGTATGTTAGCACAGTTTTTCCTTGAGAAAGGCTGAAGACTGCAAAGTGTTAATAAGTTCAGAAATACACAATCCCAAATTAGCTAACTTACTAATAATACCTCTGTTTCCAAGCTCTTGGTCAAAATGGTTCATTTAAGTGGTAAATATTAAATTTAAAATAATATATCACACTAACTTTAGAATTTTCTAAAATAGGACACTATTTGCATGCTACCAAAACAGCTGCTTTAAAAAAATCTAAAATGTCTACTGACATTTGAGGCAATCATTAATATGTTTTCTTCAATTTGTTTTTGAATTGTGTGCTGGGGTCTTTAAGTAAAACCCTGAATAAAGTTGGTGGATTTAATTTGCTTTTTTGATGTTGGCAAAACTCCAGTTAAAAAAAAAATTAGTCTACATTTAATAGTAATTTGCTTCTAAACTTCTTTTAACTTGAATTTCATTAAATTTTCTGCTACAATGAATGTGCTTAATTTATGCATAATTTATGCATAATATTAATTCTTGCATGTTGATGTATTTTAAAGTAATTTCTAAAGTCCTAAATGGTACTCTGGTTGCAGTTTTATGAAACAAAGCATTCAGCAGCAGTTCAAATTTTTAACAGCTTGTAAATTCTAGCACATTTCTTCATTTTCAAACTTGTATTTCTGAGCATGTATTAGCTTATTTTTCAGTAAGAACATAAAAAGCTTTCCTACACTTGGATAATATCACATTATTGTGGCTTCCTGACTTCCATTTGGATAACGGCATATTTTTTACTAAAGTAATTAGAACACAGATTAACAACAGTAAAATGAGCAAGTCTTCCTGCTGTACCAAGTTAAAGACCATACTTTTATCACACTTTTAGAATTTGTAGATTTAATTAAGCGAAGTCATAAGAAAGCTATTGCCATCAAATGACTTTGTTCTGCTTCAAAAATTATATATACTGTATTTTTGGTAAATTACATATATTTTATCTAGTTTTTTTTCTTAACCACAAAGTTATAAACTATCTTCAGTAACTCATCTGTTTAGATATTAAATTCCATGCATTTTACCTATTTTTTTCTCTGAACAACCACAAAATTAAAGTTATAAGCAAACTTTATCTTCGACACCTATTTGGTTTGGATGCGAAATGATCACAGCAGTCAGTAATAGCTAGTAGACTCGTTTCAAAATTGCCATTTTTCCTTATCTACCAATGGCATTCTCTCACATGAGAGAATCACTTCAAATTTTCTGAGTTCAAAGCCCTTGGTTTTATCACTTTCTAACGAGGATTCCTCTTTCCCTATCACCTGCCACAAAACCTTTCCTGACTCTGAAGTTGGTCCCAGGGTATGCTTCAGATGTGAGTTTCTGTAACTCTTCATAGAAATGTAAGAGTTTCTGTTACTCTTTACATTGATTCATACATCTAAATGTGTAATCTTAACCTAAATCAAAATTAGGTTACTAAATGATTAGACTCGATTTAGATTAAAATCACACATTTAGATGTATATTAATATTACTGTCTAGCAGCTTTATTATTGCTTGCAAAACTGCCACACCCTTGAAAATTTAACAAACCCAAACTGCTCTTCCGAGGTAAAGAACTGTGAAGGTTCACATTCTAATTTGTAATTAAACAGTTGCAAAATCTGAGTAAGTGGTTCTAAGTCATATTTCCACAACGAATCTAATATTTATTTACTACCTTGTCCCAGGTTACAGAGTAAAATGCTATTTTTTAGGAGTATAAGAGTAATTTTCACCTCAATTATGTTGACGTTTGTGTTTTACTTAATACAGTAAGTCTCAAGAACAACACTCATAGCTTTTGAGAACTCACTTCAAATAAGAAGCAAGGTAACAGCAGTTTGAAAGCTGCGAAATCCTGTCAGTGTACATACACTTCAACTATCATAAAAAGATTACTCAGTTCCATTGAAAGTTGACATTAATGGGGCCGGCCTGTGGCTCACTCAGGAGAGTGTGGTACTGATAACACCAAGGCCATGGGTTTGGATCCCATATAGGGATGGCTGGTTGGCTCACTGGGTGAGCGTGGTGCTGACAACACCAAGTCAAGGGTTAGGATCCCCTTACCGGTCATCTTTAAAAAAAAAAAAAAAAAAAAGAAAGTTGACATTAATGATGCTGGCAGAGCATATTAACAAATTTAGAACATTTTCTGTTTTTCTTTTTTTTTTCTTTCTAATTCTAAATCAAAAGATTTAACTGCTGATTAAGGTTTCAGTTTCAGGTTTAAAAACATCAAGGAGTTAGTACAGTTGAGACCCTTGAAAAAAACACTTGAAAGCTTTAAAACTTCAAATTTTAGAGAAAGGCAAGAAACCTAGATTTGAAAAAAAAATCCTATTTCCACATCTCCAAGCTATAAATATTTCCTAACTCCTCCCTAAGAACATCTTAGTCTACTTCAATGATCAAAAAAATAAAATCCAAAGATACAAAATGGAACTAAACTTCCCGGCCTAACCAGAAATCCCTTGGTGGTCACTGTGAAACAAGACTTAAAGATTTCCACAGCAATATGATTAAGAAGAAAACAAGCAAGACAACGTTGTATATCATGACGAGGCTGAAATACAGAAATGACTCCTGGTAAGTTGTCTTCTTGGTCCTTTCAAGGGCAAAGACCAACCTGAACAAAGGTCCCCAGTTTCTCTCCAAAATGTCACCTGTGAACACATCCTTCAGTCTCTAATACCTCTCCAGACACCAGCACAGCCGGCTGCAGGGAGAATGCTCAGCCCGTGTGTCATCTGTCCTAAGAGTACCAGCAAATGGAAAGCCACAGGGAATTCGCTAGATAAAAAGAATGTATATTGTATGTGCAGCAGGTATCAAATTTGTAAGAGAAACACGACAGTCTCGAGCTAAGGTCTAAGGCCACATGAGAAACTCAAGCTGTGATTGGAAAATTTTGCCCTAGCCTCTACCACAAAACTGACATTGGCCTATTTCTTCTATCCATGCACCCAACACACTTGCCCAGAACCCTCCAAACCAAAGAAGCCTCTGACACAAACAGCCTACCTACAGGCACCATCAAATTCCCAGTGAAATGTGACCACTTAGCAAAGCCTCCCGGAAGAAGAAAAGATCAAACGAGACCGGCTCAGCGGGGTCTTCCCGAGGTGACCCCGGAATTAACGTATTTATTTTCACGCTGCAACTGCCCATCGCTTTACAGAGACATATCATGCTGTAGCTCTGCATGGAGCTGAAGACAAAAGTAACATTCTTATTAATGTTATTATTATTATAATTCTTTAACAAAGCTATTAAATAACCTGTACAAAGACCGAACCAGTCCTAGCGAAAACCCAAGCGCTTTTTCAAATTTCCCAAGGTACTTCCGCCTTAATTCAGCAGCGTTTCCTATATACAAGCCCAGGGTGGTCTCCCCAAACTGTAGGTCTTCCAGATGGTGGGAATGGTTCAGAGTTTGTAACCGCTCTGGCGTAACGCAGGGCGCCCAACCATGCCCAAGTGACCCCTGCTCCCAACCCTCCCCCGCTCCTCTTGGGGACCAGGGCCCTGTCCGGGGCCCGGGGAAGATGGGAGCCTGGGTGCACTCTGAGAGGCGGGCAGCGGACAGTCTGTCTGCTGAGTCTCCCCTCTGCCAGCTGCCCACAGGTCCCGGGCACCTTCCGCAGAGGTGCTGGGAAAGGAGTCCAAGGCGTGAGTGGCCTCGGGACTCCCTGGGGTGGGCTCACAAGTCCCGCGGGTCCTCCCGTTTCACCCCGGCCTCAGCAACTTTGAGCTTCTTATTCTGGTGCGTCTTGACGTGCTTGGCAAGGTGGTCGCTGCGCATGAAGCGCTTGCCGCACTCGGGACAGGCGAAGCGCTTCTCGCCGGTGTGAGTTCGCAGGTGCCGCTGCAGCTCGTCCGAGCGCGTGAAGCTCTTGCCGCAAAAGAGCCAGTTGCACACGAAGGGCCGCTCGCCCGTGTGCCAGCGCAGGTGCGCCTTCAGGTGCGACGTCTTGCCGTACACCTTGCCGCAGCCCGGCACGTGGCATACGTGCTGCTTCTTCTTGCCCGGCTCCACCTCGGGGGCGCCACCCGCCGCCTGGCAGTTGGGGCAGCGGCAGCGGCGGCACCTCCTGGCCGTGGCCGCCAGGGGAGCCTTGGTCTGCAGCAGCGCGGCGATCTGGCTCTGGTACTGCGCAAAGTCCGACGGGCCCAATACCAGGCCCCGTTGCAGGGCGGCTGCTGCTGCTGCTGCGGCGGCGGCGGCGGCTGAGGCGGGGAAGCGGGGTGCGTGGGGACCCCCGGCACAGGCGCCGGAGAGGCCGCCCCCCGGAACCCCGGTGGCCCCGGGACCGCCCCCCGCCTGCGGGATGCTCCACCACGGGAGGTCGTCGGGAGCCGGGTTGGGGGGCAGCTGGCGGC